ACAATTGTAATACAGTATGTCACCGTACGCATTCAGAAGCAACACTTTATCATTCTCGTAGAGGCCCACAACACTATAGAGAGGAAAAATACCGGGAGGAGTCGGGGTATGAGTCGACTCGCGAGACCATCTACTCCCATCCCACACCCAAATCTCGAAAGAAGGCTTCCAACAAAGTGTGCCCTTGTGCTTGAAACCGTAAATAACGCACGCTAGCGACCCGTGGAACTCGGCAAGAATGACACTAGTACTGTTGGAGTTCCCGATCTCATTGCTCTCGGGGATAATGATAAGATAATAAAAAAACTCGTCGTTAACAAAGTCAAACGAATAAACAACGTAATCACCATTATAGGCAAGGAAATAACGAGTTCCATTTATGTGAACAGAAGCATGTCGATAGTATTTCAAGCTGGGGGGATAAGGCTGCAGAATTTTCTTCCAAGAACCGGTTCGGAGCGAAAAAACCTCGGCATCAGCTTCCACACTAGCATCGTAGTCCAACAAGTGAGTCCGAACAACCTTATAGTCTCGGGATACGGGATCAAACCCGAGGCCGTAACCCATCTGATGGCGGATAATCTTGTCGTACCCGATTGCAGGGTTGATCCCACAATTCAGTGGATCAGGGAGCGGGCCCGGTGCCACCAAAGAAGGAGGAATAGGTTTGGTTTCGGCTGTCGTGGGGTCCCACAAAATCTCCCATGAAACTTGAGGATCTCTTTGACAGCACAACAAAATCCATGTGTTGCAGCTGTCTATAATATTGTAATTGGTTGTTTTGTGGATCTTGTTGTAGTTTTCAGTTCTGAGGAAAGATAAGTTGGGGAGATCGTTTCTTACCATCTTAAGAGAGTCGTTTTCGGTGGAAATTATAGAGTAGGTGCGGGTTCTGTTGTGTATGTGCTCCACCATGAGCATGCGTTTGTTGGTGTTGGTATGCTTAGAGATGAGGGATTGCGCCGGCGAATTAACCGGAGTAGCAGCGGCAGAAACGATCCTTGAAGAGAGGGCGGAGAGTTTGGATCTGGCGGCGGCCGCGGCGGCTGAGAGGAGTCCCATCTATTTTTCTCTATTTTTCAATGAATGGGGGTATGTTTTTTATTTGATATTTTTATTTTTGTTTTTTTATTATTTTTGATATCTATCTATATATAAAAAGTTTGTTGGAATTACCTGTTTTAAAAACTTTGACCAAAAAAAAAAAGTTTGACATTCTATTTTTAGAATTCTTGAAAGTCTTTATTAAGACACGAGATTAAAATGTGGCGGCTACATTAAAAGACATATTTGAATTCAAATTATGAATAATGAGAGAATAATGGAATTGGTTTTTCAATAATGAGTGATTATTGGAATTGGATAACTCTAAGAAGAGATAACTCACGATCTAGACTATTTAAAATAATGGGTAAGAACCATAATAAAACTGAAAGATAAGGCTTTTCAAATTTTCAAATTTTCAAAGATAAGGGTAAGAACCATAATAATCGAACTTTAAAATAAATTAATTAAAAAAATGATATTTGAGTCAATCCAACAATTGATAGAAACTGTAACAGAAAATTAAATATTTTATGACCACATTAGAATTGCATTTATGAAAATTCCACACCAATCTTATCATAAAGTTTCTACATTAATAAAACTTCTAAACAAATAAACCAATAATTTATAATATAGTTCATGTACACTTATATTATCATAATTTAAACAAGACGTGCACATTACCTCGGTTATCATAATTGAAGCAAGTTTAAATAAACAACATAATTAGTATAAGAATCCTTAATATTTGACATTAAATAATATAATAATATAGTTTATCATTCTATAGTACTAACAGAAATTGAGTTAATGAGGAAACACGTGTAATTGACAAGTTAAAACACGTTAAAAAATCTAAACAACTCAATCAATTAATTAATTATCTAAATCATTTTAACTTATCTTATCATCAAATCACAATTACTCAAAATACTTAAAATGACGTTTAATTATGACACATGTGTACTAATTGGTCATCTTTTTACATGGATAAAAAATCTTAACGACTTAACTAATTAATTATTTTTTAAATCATTTGGACTTATCTTATAATCAAAACACAATTTGTTCAAATTCTTATTTTAAATTAGTCTAAACATAAATGTACGAATCACAATATATGTGATCGATTTGTTTAGAAATGTTTATTTTCTGCAGGTAAAAAAAAAATTAAAAAAATTAGAGACGACCGACACGACATAGAGAAATTGGTCGGAGGATGAGAGGAAAAAATGAAATGAAAACCCTGAAAATCTGAACTTATGGCCTAATGTTTGTTTAATTAGTGTCGATGTTATGGAACATAGTCCAATACTTGATATATTTTATGGAAAATGCTACAAGTATATAATAAATGTACATATAGGTGTACATTATACTCATATGGAATGGGGTCCACTTGATTTTTTATTTTTTGTGGGTCTCACTCAATATGAGTGCTATTACACCCGTATGTATGGTCACGTACTATATATATCCCGTACATTTTATTTTATTCATTTATTCATTTTATAATCGTCATGCTCGATCTTAATATGGCTATATACAAAATTACCTTCGAAAAAGCACATTATAATTTTCCCGTGCATCGCAAGGGGGATTACTAGTATAATTAACAATGTAGTGTAGCTAATAAGATTGATGAAATAAAATAAATTTATCTAATGGTATTTTTCATAATTAAGATAAATTGTATTACCTTGACAATATTCCTCTCTGTCTCCGTACCCTTGTTCGTATGGACCAGATGGGATACCTTTCATTCAGATTTGTGTAGCAAGTCCTACCTTTTGGTATATCCGCCCCATGACGCGGACTTTTTGCTTGGACTATTTCCGGACCAAGTTGTAAATCCCCATTTTTTTCATAATTAAGATAAGTTGAATATACAGGGTACTACTTTGAAATTACCATTTAATATAGATATTGATTCCCAATTTACCCAATTAATAATTCACTAGTACGTACTCGTATATTAAACGAATGGTTGTTAAAAGAAATTGCCCTTGAGATTCGATTTTTGATAGTCATAGTGTTTGTAAAGAACATACAAATCCAGAGTACCATGTTATAAGTCGATCAAAGTACAATCCTACAGTCCCGCTACGGTAAAATTTCGTTTTTGTTTCATAGTTCCGTTGTTTCATATATCTCAAAGGACAATGCTACAATTAAGTTACGATATGATTCCATTTTTTAACCTTAGATACATCACAGATCTACATGTGTATCTTCGGTTAAAAATAATGGAACACGTAATTGTAGCATTCTCCTATCTTAAATATGTAAATTCAGATTTCAGCGTTCAACCTATCCCACTTTTAATACTAGTACTTCGAAACAATTAGCAAAATGGTCGTCAAGTGTCCGTTAGTGGTAAACAAAACCGCTGGAAATGAACTCATTTTTGGCACTTGTCTTGACAGAAGGAACTATAAATACAATAGCAGACACCATCACATAATATGAAACTATTCCAAAACCATTCGACTTATGAATTTATTTCAACACATACATCTGTGGGGAGTTGAGCTCTGAACGTATGGGAAAACATGGAGAAGACTCGAATCGACATGGATGCCAAGATTCTCCAAGTGGCGCGTCGCACAGTTGTAATACAGTAGATCACCGTGCGCATCCAGAAGCAACACTTTATCATTCTCGTAGAGGCCCACAAATCTTTGGAGAGGATAAACACCAGGGGGAGTCGGGGCATGAGTCGACTCGCGAGACCATCTGCTCCCGTTCCACACCCAAATCTCAAACGAAGGGCTCCAACCAATTGTGCCCTCGTGCTTGAAATCATAAATGATGCACGCCAGCGACCCGTGGAACTCGGCAAGAACTACATCACTCCTATCAAAGTCCCAGACCTTATCATTCTCAGGGATCATGATCAGACAAGAAAAAAACTCGTCGTTAACAAAGTTAAATGAATAAACAACGTAATCACCACATTCCAAGGCTAGGGAATGATGAGTTCCATTTATGTGAACAGAAGTACCACTTTGGAAGTCCAAGCCGCCACAAGGCTGCCAAATTTCCTTCCAAGAATCGGTTCGGAGCGAATAAACCTCGGCACGAACTTCCAATCCAGGATAATAGTCCACCAGGTGAGTTCGGATAACCTTATAGTCTCCGGATATGGGATCAAACCCGAGACCGTAATCAGTCAGATGACTGGAAACCACATCTTCCCCGAGAGGGGTTGAGGAGCTTGCGCGGCTCCACCAAGGAAGGAGGAAGCAGTTTGGTTTCGGCGGTCGTGGGGTTCCACAGAAGCTCCATTGGAAAATCACGAACTATGTTACATGACAACAGAACCCATGTGTTGCAGACGTCTAATATGTGATAATCGGCTATTTGTCGATAATCGTAGTTTTCAGTTCTGAGTATAGATAAATTGGGGAGATTGTCTCTTACCACCTTAAGCGAGTTGTTTTCGGTCGAAATTATAGAGTAGTCGCGGGTTCCTTTGTGTACGTGCTACACCATGACCATGCGCTTATTGGTGGTGGTGGTGGTGTTGGGCTTCAAGATTCGGGACGGCGCCGTAACGTTAGCCGGAGTAGCACCGGAAGAGATGATCCTTGAAGAGAGGGCGGAGAGTTTGGATCTGGCGGCGGCGGCGGCGGTTGAGAGGAGTCCCATCTATTTCTCTCTGTTTTTCCAAGGAGTTGCGGTATATTTCAATTAATTATGGTTTTGTTTTTTTATTTGGTATGTTTTTTGGTTAGAATTTTGTTTTCTTATTATTTTCACAATATACAATTAACAATGTAGTGTAGGCTGTGTAGCTAATAAGATTGGTACAATAAAATAATATATTTTTTTTTTTTGGAATAGAACGGCAACGC